TCTAAGTAAGAAATATCCGAATCCCTATTTAAGAATGGAACATGTACTGTATTATTTACACACCACATTGCGCATTTGAATTTAAAACTCTAGACGGTATCACAAAATTCAGCTCTATTGCCGCCATAACCTTTTAGAAGCACACACATACATAACCTAAATAATAGAAGTATACTGCTTTTTTTACGACGCGTTATAACTAAACCAAACAAAGTTATTCTCGTGAGGAAAACCGTCGCGCAGTAACAAACCTAATTCTACAAGTGCATCTACTTATAAATTTTAAGGTTCGTTCCTCTTAGGAACTGTGCTCGCTAGATAAAGCTCCAAATCCCCAACGTTCGCCATTTAGGACGTCATTGAATGTTCACCTGGAGCTTACCTCGAATGTATTACGCGTTTTCCCCGTTTCAGACTTAGTTTGGCCGGCTACGAAGCCAATGGCATAGCTGGAAAGTGTTTTGTTTTGTTAGAGTTCTGTGTAGTTTCACATTTGAACTTTTACATTAGAGTGGACACAGAATGGATAAATACCGTATAATGAGCAAATTTTATATGAAACAACGTGCAGTGGAATACAATTTCTATTAAAATTTGGATTTACTTAAAATACAATCTCTTATATGTATCTGTCCAACGAGTTAAGCTTGGTTTTCATGCATCCGTTATCCGAAGATACGATGATACGATACTAATTTTATTGGTTGAATTTAAAGTACTCGATTGGTTAGAAAATTACGCAGTTTTAAAATTTATTGCATTTTCATGCCTCCGTTCATCGGATCTACGATTTGCTTGTGATTGATTTCATTTTATATTTTCATTTCCATTTTATCTTATTCAAGATTTACATTTTTAAAAATATTTGTACAATTGAAAGTTTCAATCATCTGCTGATAACGCTAAGGCTCCGCGCGCACTGCATCGGATCGGACCGACCAGCAAAAGCGACTGCGACCATCGTACATATAGACGGCGCCAGCGTCCACTAAAACATTTCGGCCTGTAGAGGCCAGATTCCTACCTCTACCTATCTACGATAGTCGAGTCACCGCCTTCGCCGGACTGGTGCCGATTCAGTGCGCGTACACCTTAACATCGGTAGGAAAACGTATATAACGAGGATAATAACCATCATACAAGTCTATCGCTGGGTAATAAACATTATACGTCTATCGCTTGAAGTTCTAAATAAGAAATATCCGAATCCCTATTTAAGAATGGAACATGTACTGTATTATTTACACACCACATTGCGCATCTGAATTTAAAACTCTAGACTGCATCACAAAATTCAGCTCTATTGCCGCCATAACCTTTTAGAAGCACACACATACATAACCTAAATAATAGAAGTTTACTATTAGTTATTATTCCTGATATTGGTAATATTGAGATGAAACAATTTATAAACAGAGGTAACAAGATACAAAAACTAAAATTTTTTACCCCCATCCAAAAAAAAAATTCCATAACTAAAATATCTTTAAAAAAAGTTTATAACATTATTAAACTGAAAGGATTAAATACTTTCAACTTAAAGTAAAGTTGACCTAGATGTTCTCTAACATTTCTCTATAAGTATTCAAAATCACTTGGTATAAAAAAAATAAAACCAAAAAATTATCTAATATTAAAACAGACTTGATTCGGAATAAGGAATGCTTGAAATGTAATTAATGTTCTGTTAAAAACCCCGTGACAATCTACAGATTGTTTATACTTAAATCTAGATAAATCTTTGTTGTTTCTCGGTTGTAAGGCCTGAGAAATTTCTTCGAGTGTCTTAGACCGTTGAAGGATTCTCATTCCAGGTTACGGATCGATAAATAATAAGATTCTAGGTTCTTGAGGGTCGAGTTTTCTCTAGGTTTCTAGTTTCCTCACTCATGGCTTTACGAACTCATTCGTGCCAAGTTCTTTTTGGCCGACCTCTTTTTTTCCGGTGATGTAGTATCCAATTCACTGGATTTTTTTGGTAACCTGTTGTCATCCATACGTTGTACATGGCCGTACTAGACAAGGTGCCTTCTTACGATATCAGCCATTTTAACCGTGTCCTGAATTCCCATTTGATCCCGGATATTTTCATATCTCACTCTTTCGGTTCTGGATACTCTGTACGATTTTCTAAGTGCATTTCGGTTGTTTCTATAAACTATATATTGTTATTAATTATTTAATTATCGTGAATATCACCGATCCTCTTCTCTAAACTAATTCCACTACGTCTTATTTCAATTATACGGTATGTTGAAATGTTGAAAATATTTGTTGAATAAAACATTTCTAACTCCCTTTTCAACCACCTCCGCTAATTTATATTAAAGGAATATACAAAGTAATCCAGCTGTTGAACGTTCTCCAACCCAGTATGAGTACATATCACTTGCAAAATCTCTAACGAGGGGTAGGAGACTCAAAACCTCGCAATGTTTTCAAATGTCTATTTCAAAAAATAATTTTGTTTAAAAATGGGGCAACATGTTTCGAGAATAACTTACTTGCCATCATTTGGTATGACTTTTGTCTTTGTGGGCCTGATGATGGAAAGTAACTGATTTCCGAAACATGTAGCACCATTTTTAAACCAAATTATTTTTTGAAATAAACATTTGAAAAGATTGCGAGGTTTTGAATCCCCTACCCCTCGTCAGACGTTTTGCAATTAATCCGTTTTTTTCAGTGCCAACTAGTAGAACAAAGTAAAATGACGAAAAAACAAAATATGAATTTCAAAATAAACATCTAAAAACAATACGAAATATAGCTACAAAAAACATTCAAAATATGTTTCCTTCTCACTTTCGAATTACAATTTTTCATTCAGATTTTTTACCCGGCTGATTTATCTAACAGAAAGGCAATTTTCCGCGGATGTACCAGAACAATGTGTCGAATTTTCCACATTTCCGTGAGAGCTGCATTTCTCTTTTGTGGGACGCGCTCGTTTCAGGATCGAAAACGACTACAGAACAAAACTGAATCCGCAGAAAACACTGGCGCCGCTAATGATAAAAGTAGTTGCGGCGAACTCGTATCTTGTCCAGGACAAAGTTAATGTTCGCGGGTTGTTCTGTTTCGTACTCGCGATTTCTGATTATATATTTCAGCATGTAGTTACGTTATCTAGTTTTAATTTGATGTAATTTTGTCTAGTTTCGAACTAGGTAACCTGGTTTTTAGTAAATAGTCTTATTGACATAGTCGAAACCATTTTTATCTTGTTGACTGGGGTTATACAAGGTGAATCTTAAGTAAGTGCAGATGTTTTTAGTGGTGGTATTTTTGATTCCAGGACAAGTCTATGAGTTTTTTTCGCAAAAAAAATTAAAATTTTGTATGCTTCGATTTTTTTTAATATTCAGTTAACCCCTTAACGGCTACAATGAAAAATTTTCCTTATTACTCGCTACAGAGTGGTCTCGTATACACCTCTATTTAATTACATAATTTAAAATAGAAAATAAAAAGTTGTTGTATCTTCCTATACTTTTATGAGTTTACATGTGAGTTGGTTGAGAATATATACACATAATAGATAAATTGTGAATCGGCATCAAACATTATTTATAAAAATACGTGGTAAACATAAAAAAGTAATATTTTTATGTTTTATTTCGCAGCAAATTAAATATATTTTTCTTGAGCACTGTAGACAAATGATTTTTATACAAACTGTACAGAGATACTTCATGTTTTTTTTTATATTTTGTACTTCTCGGCAGCTGTTTTGCATACCATAATGTCTTTCAATATTCACCCTATGTCTTAGTTTCCTTGGTATTTTTTGGATGAGCAACCTTGTCTTTTCTTCCATCCTAGATATACCTGCACTTCTTCTAAGGTAGTCCATTTCAACAACTTGGATTTTGCGCTTCGCGTCTGCACTCAGAGTCCATAGCTCTGAACCATAGCAAAGAACTGACTCCACTAATGTTCTTCTCTTTTTAGTTGTTGTAGACAAGTTTCGGTCCCACCAGAGGCTGTTAAGGCATCCAATAACTTGTTTGCTCTTCTGAATTCGGGTTTGTATATCTACTTTGCCCAAACCCTCGTTGTTGATAGTAGCACCCAGGTATTTAAATTTGTCTACTTGTTGAATCTGGACGTTATCATTAATGAAGACTTCAAAACAAGCGTTGGAATTGACAGCTAAGTATTCGGTCTTCTTTAGACTAACCTGAAGTCCCCATTTGTTGTATTCTTGATAAAGCCTCTTAGTCATGAACTCTAGATCGTATGAGTCCTGCGCAATCACGACCTGATCGTCTGCAAAGCTCAGGGTAAATAGTGTGTTGTCCCCAATGGGTATTCCCATACCTTGACATTTCGTCTTCCATTCCCTAAGGGCTACTTCGACGTAAGCGTTGAAGATCAGAGGAGATAACCTGCATCCTTGTCGCAACCCTTTCGTGGTGTTAATTGGATTAGATAGCCTGTGTCCTATCTTAACGTACGATTCATTTTCTTTATATAGCTCTATTATTATCTCAAGCAAAGGTCTATCTACTTCTAAGATATTCAAGACTTCCCATATCTTGCTGCGGGGAATAGAGTCGTACGCTTTCTCCAAATCAATAAATGCTAGATGGACTTCTTGATCTACTGCTGACTTCTGATCTACTTTGGACTACTACTTGGACTTGATGGACTTCTTGATCTACTTTTTTCCATCACCTGCTGCAGGAGAAAAAGGTTATCTGTGCAAGATTTCCCCGGTGTGAATCCGCTTTGGTCTTCCGAGATTTTGTCACCAATACTGTCCCTAAGCCTACCCTGTAGCACCTTTCCAAAAAGTCTGCTGACCGAACTGTTAATGTTTAGGCCTCTATAACAAGCGGGGTCGTTACGATTTCCCTTTTTAAAGATGGACACTATGTGAGCCACTCGCCATTCTCGGGGTAGTTTACTTTGCAGGCAGCACTGGTTAAATAGCTCTGCCAGACGCCAGCGCAGTCTTTCGGTTCCACACTTTAACAATTCCGCTACAATATTACCAGGACCTGGTGACCGCCCATTTTTCATTCGATTGAGACTTTGATGTACTTCTCTTTCGCTTATCATTAAAGTGCCTGCAAGGTTCTCATCTTCTACTGCTTGAAATTCTGGTCGGTTTTCTGTCAGTAATTCTGCATAGTAGTTGCGCCATTTTTCTATATCCATTCTATTCAAGAGCTTGTCCGTTTGATTGGTTTTCATTTGTCGGATTGTTCTCCATACCTCAGTACTCCGTGCGCCCCCTATTAGGCTTTCCACTTGTTGACACCTTCTTTCCCAAATATCTGTTTTTCCTACCTTAATGGCGGCTCGTACCTTTCTATTTTTTTGCTTGTAATGACTCTAGTTAGTATCTGTTCGGTCTGAGAGCCATCTTTGATAGAATTTTTGTTTGTCATTGATTAAGGCCTTTATGCTGTCAGTTATCCAAGCTGGCTCATCTTTTTTTTTCTGCATGTTCTGTTCACCTAAAACTTCGAAAGCTACTTTTTTAATTAGGGTTTTTAGGTTGGTATACTCTAGTTCTACATCGTTACAGGCTTTCACTTCTTCTAGGGCTACATCTAATCTTCTCTGGTACAACCATTTAATACTGGCATCGTGTAGTAAGTGAAGTTTGTACTTAATACGCTCAGATTCTTCAATTTCCAGTTCTTGTGATGTTGTGTATTCTATACTTTTGGCTCTGCTCTGGAAAGATACTACTAATTCTGCAACAACCAGACGGGTGGTCGGATCCACAATTTGCTCCTCTCTTAACTCTGCAGTCTTTAAATTTGAGTTTCGATATTTGTTTAGTAATCATATAATCAATTATAGATTTTTGTTGCAGAGAGGGCCTTTTTCGGGTGTATCGATGAATCAATTTGTGTGGAAAGAAGCCGTTAAGTATACGTAGACCATTCAGTGCGCAAAAGTCAATTAACCTCTCTCCAGAATCATTAAGGGCGTCCTCACCGTGTTTTCCAACCACTTTACTATCTTCTTTCTTACCAATTCTTGCGTTAAGGTCTCCCATGATTAAGACTTCCTGGCTCGGTTTTATTTCTGTGAGGACTTTTGAGACTGCAGCATAATAAGAGTCTTTTTCCGCTTGGTTTGAATCATCTGTGGGCGCATAAGTACCTATTATTACCGTTTCCCATCCGAAAATTGACCATACATGACCTGAATTGTCTACCATACATAAACCTTTAAAAAATCTATTTACGACTTCGCTGTAAAATCAAAAGGGGAGCCAATATTTGAACAGTTCAAAATTTGCATGGAATTTCCTGTTTCCAACGACGTTGCACCACCCGGTATATGATATCATCTTTTGATGTTTCACTGATATTTATCTTCTAGTATTTGAGATTATTTGAAATAAATGGAACAACGATGTTGCCATGCATACGCTTTCGTAAATTATTGCACCTATTAAGTAAATAATCTTTAGTTAAAAAAAGACATTCATTTTTCTCAAAGAAACCGGACTTAAAAATTATAATGAAAAATGACCGAGATTTTGAGTCTTTTTTTTATATTAATATAGATAGACATAAATATATATATTTAAATTAAATATAATTATTAATTTAATAAAATTACTCAAAATTACCTTTTACACGCACACTGCAAATTTCCGCTACTAGTTATTATAAATTAAGCAAAGTATGCCAATTAAGGTACAAATGCAGAACCCGTTGGAAATAGCGAGACGCGCTCCAGATTTCAACTATTAGCATACCGTATTCAAATATAATACTATTATTTACTATTTAGCACATAATTTCCTCATTCTCGCGACTGCTAATAACGTTCCTCTTTGCGGGAAATTATTTTTCCCGCTGTTTCGCGCTATGGGCTTCGCGTTCGCGGGATTTGAATTGTCTTGTTTTTATGCACCTGTTTTAGGAGTAATTTTCGTCTGGAATTGGATTTATATGCGGTTGCAGTTGAAATAACCACTTACTATTCAGTTGTTAATTTTCCTTAAACAAAGATATAGTAAGTTACTGAAATGAAAAATTCATGAAAGTGATTTGATTATCTTTCCAGCATTCTCAACACTATAAAGAAATTCGTATTTCGGAATATTATCAATTATAAACAATTATTACAAGTAGAAAAATATAATTTTTTTGTTATATACAATTTAGGCCTCCACAGCACACAGGAGAATCAAATGCACTACAAATTAGAACACTCGTTTCTTTATTCATAAAGGAGAATTATTCTCCTAAACAAATAGTTTGCCTATACGGCTCAAAATTTTACTACTTAAATAAAATTTTAAATATACGTTTTCATATACTGTTTTATTTTCAGAAAACATTTTTAGTATTATATTTTTTAAAAAAATATATATTTATATAATATACACTCAGATGCAAACAAAACGAAACAGAGAAATTTTTGGTCAAATTTAAAGTGTTATATTTTTGTTATTTTTAGCCCTATATTCATGATTTTTTTAGTAAACTGTATATAATTATATCGACTTTAATTCCTAAACTCAGTTTTTTATAAACTTTACTAACTGGCATATTATACCAATATAGGTTGTTTTTTTTACCCCAACTTTGACACACCCTTGTAACAGTTAAATTTCATCGCTACGACCTCTGTGTGCTAGCTCATGAATTATCGCAAATAACTATTATTTTTGCGTCATGTTTACTATAATTTTATTGTTAAATATTATTTTATTTAAATTTTACGATTATGCAACCCGATATACACCGCGATATTATACAGCTACAGCTCAACGATATTGTCACTGGACCAGGCACACCAGCAGTAGTAGGCTTTTTGTCCATCTCTATATATCTTTGATCATCACCTCCGTCACTTGTCACTGTCAGATCAAATCAGATGTTTTTGGATTTATTTATCGTTTGTTTTGGTTATTGAAGTTTTATAATTATCAGATAAAATTTCGTAGTTAAATCGTTTATTTTTGATGTGGATCGCAGCGTTCAATTCGTCCATTTAATTGTCGGAATTTCTGAGTTAAGTTCGTTCGTTGACCGGATATCGAATATGGCTGTGAAAATATTCTAGAACATCGTTTTTTATTTATGCATTTTTGTGAGTTGGACTAGTCAAGATATATAGTTCTCTATCTATATCCTGGAGGGAGATTTCCGGTTGAAATGTGATTTTGTGAAGAAAATCGAATCCTTGCATCACTTCTTGTGTACTCCCCGACCGAGAATATCGTCGTGAAGAACTGGCTGCCGTTTCGTGAAGCATTCCCTGTTGGTGAATAGCAGGTCTTAGTAAAGAAGGATTCAGGCTTCCGAAACACATTTGATCAGACACGTGGTTGGATTTTGATGATTTTTATGCACCGCCGACCAATTTCCACAATGGGATTAAAATAGCCAAATTTTCCGACCGATATTCCGATTCCACGTGCTCAAGAAGTTCCAAGGTATGCTATAATTCTTCTGCCTATTCTAAGTCAATGCTCAACTGATTTTTGTTCATATTGTTGTCTAGTTTTCGACTTTTCCACGCCCATGTGGTGTAGAAAGATTAGTTGAGTGTTATCTTTCTTAAATCTTATTCGGTTGTTCGTAATTGTAGAGCAAGAAGACCGATGCAGACCGTAGCACACTACGTCCAGAATTCCATCCGTTCCTGTTTTCCGTGTAGAGGTACCCGTTGGACATCATAAACCCTCGTTGAGGTAAAGTTCAGATTTGATTAGTCCTTCTTTATTACCTTTATTAACTCCTACACGTTGTGCTAGTCCTTGTTCTATAATTGAGGCTCTTTTCTAAGACAACCAATGTTATTTAGGGTTTTTATGTTCACCTTTTGAAGTCCTACACCTGCCCGGCATCCGTACGTCTGGTGACATCCGTGGGCTCCAGTGACAGTACACCGAGCTGCTGTACCCTGCTGTAGCCACCCTATAGTTGTACACCGTAGCTCAGCCGTAGGAACTTCCAAGTAGTTTCAAGACTTAGAGTAAGACTGTACAATTTTAGTATAATTTTAGATTTGATTTATGGGTATAAACCACCCTGATTGTATCTTACATTTAATTTAAAATTCTATTTTCTTTTCCAACCTTTCGATTTAAATAATTTCATAACGTATTACATTTTACATTTCATTTGTTTTTTTTTATATATATATTTAACTTTTTAATATTTTAATAAATTGCTTAAATATTTTTAGTAGTATTATTTACAGTCTAGTCTCATAGTTAAGTTAAAGTCACTTAAGTTTAACGAGTTATAGCATATTTGAAGTTCATGGTAGTTGCACTTAACAGTTCGAGGTTAGTGTTGAAGTCTACTTAATATTTACATTTTTATTGCCGAGTTCATAAAGTATAATCTCGTGGCGCCCTTTTATTAATATCTTTGAACCCCGACCACCCGGCTGTTAAAATTAAAAAGCTAGTGGCCTCTATGCTACTCATCCTAATTAAGTAAACTTGTGTTTTATTGAACTTCAAATTAGAAAAGGACGCGGCACACTTTACAACAATTTCGTGTGTAAATTTTCCTAAAATATAATTTTACGATCAGAACCATGTCTCCTGAGCATTATGTTTTTTGGATCATGTCAATACATCCTTTGATTATTTTTTAAGAGTAAAATGATCACGATCAACATGTATTTTTTTCAATTATCATTACTTTTGATGTAATTTTTTAATATGACGAGATGGTTTTGGTGAATATTGTTTTAACGTCATATTACTCTACATCGGAAAAATAATTAAAAATAAAAAAAAACGTTAAGGACTAACGATACAGTCCTTGTTTTAATAAACATTAATAACGATAACTGAACTAACGATATTACAGAAAACAACTGTAATATACTGAAGTATACAAACAGAAAAAAAAATGTAAAAAATACCCTAATACTTGTAATGTATTGCCTCTCTTGGCTGCTACTACATACTGTCACTGAGGCTGCATATATCATATTATATGTTTTCCGATTCTTCTTTATAGTTCAGTCATTGGGGATCAAAAAAGGAGCCTGCTTGGAAAAAAGTCCGGAAGTTTTGAAACTTTGCAGGTTTATAGGTTTTGGGGTCCCTAACTAAAATCCATAAAATGCACATTTCCCGACTTGCCGCTGGCGCCGCCATCTTGCCAAGATGGCGCCCAAAATCGGTATTTTGTGAATATCTCGAAAACTATGCGTTTTTC